ATAAAACCAAAATAAAATGAAATAATAATGGTTTTATACAAAAAGAGGATAATTGGAACAACATACCATAATAATAATAATAATAATAATATATAATAGAAATTTTAAATAATATAAACAGTTTTATACTACAGTAAATAAAATATATAAAATATATGAATATATTAGGAAAATATATGAAAAATGAACAAAATAATAATAAAACCAACAACATTTACACACACACACACACACACACACACACACACATACATACATATTTATAAAACATATAATATGGATAATAAATAAACATAATAATAATTTCTTTCACAAACCTGGAAGTGGCAGGAGTTTTCTACATTTTCCTGAAATATTAAATATACTCATTAATAACTGATCTTAGCTCATTATATTCCAGTTATAGAGTCAACATGACATCAAAACTGATTCTATTTCACGTCGCCGCCGTCACTGTGAGTGATTCATCAGCCCACATTATTCTGAAGGAAATAAATGTGTCTCTATTCATCAAACGTCAGCAATCCCTCGTATTCTCCAGACGCTGCTCAGCATGCGATCGATCGATCGATTGATTGCTGATGATCAGATCAGCCGCTGCTCTCCGTCATGATTACAGAGCGACTCTCACCAGAATGACGGGGACGGCGGAGGAGATCCGGCTGTGGGATGAGCCCCAGTCCTCCGGGCTTCCGTACAGACCCTTCTCCAGAACATACTGCTGACCCGAGAACCCAGGACCCTCGAACGCCACCCACCTACAAGAAACCAGTCAGACTTATTCATTTCTGTCCACTGTGGCAGAGCTACAGCGTTGGGGTGGAAAAGAGCAGCGTGAACATTCTGGGAAACGTCTCTTTTTCTGTTTACTGAAGAATGACAGTCATACGGGCTTGAAGCGACATGCGGGTGAATAAAGGATGATTTCCAGCTGAATTATTCCTTTAAAACTAACGTGCAGCTAGATTCATATCACAAGAATGTTCAGATGATTCAGTATGAGGAGAATGCAGCTGCAGTTCTGGGGTAGAAACGTCCTGAAGGTCGTCAGTGTTTAATGCTTCACATTCCATGATGCCCAAACTGACATTCAACGCAGCGAAACTACAGCAACTCCCAAAATAATGAGACTCACAGAGCCACGGCGCCCACACATGAACAAATACAGACCTGCCTTCATGCATGCATGCGTCTCACACACACACACACACACGCATGCATAATCGCAGACACACACACAGCCTTTATGCCTCTGTCTGTACTAGAAAAATGTGTGAGCGCTTCAACTTTAAACAAGCCTGTATGTTTATATATTGTCCCTTCACACACACACACACACACACACACACACACACTCACACACACTCACACACACACACACACACAC